ATACAACTAGTCTAACTGATGATGACCATGTTGAAGAAATTAATGAAATTTTTTGTCCATAAGTATTAGGCTTATCGATAGTGCGCATCCACAACTCCTGAAACTCGCAGGATTCAAACCCAGGATCCTCGGTCTTACGCACGGACGCCTAAATTCTGGACCATTGATGAAAGGTCCCACACCACGAAGAAACGTCACACAGGAATTTAACAATCTCTACAATCCTCCCATGCAAAATAAGTATTAGGTCATTCAATAGAAATTATTAAACAGATGCAACTATCTGTTTACGTTTTGTTTTATCAGCAATGCTAAATTAGGAAGACATGACCAATAGTGTAAGCAATAACTACCAAAGACAAATTGTTGAGGTCGCTCAAAATCCCTAGTTTGATCAGAGTTAGACATTAACACCGGCTCAGTACTCTAGAGGTTAGGCGCTGAAGCACAAGACTGAAGGTCTTCGGTTCAAATCCTGCGAGTGGCAGGAGTCGTGGATGCCTCAAAAACGGACGGAAAGGTCGTCCAGTGCTTTCAGGTTTCAATTGGCGTTCTAACAATCATTCATTCGTGATTTTTATATGTGGAAACAATGGTCTTCATAAATCTAATTGAAAAAATAATTAATATTAGATGGTTCAAAATAATTAGTAGTAAACTTAACAATGACGTGAATTTTAATAAAATTTATTTATAACTTTTAGGAAATTGATTTCATGAAATTATGAAAGGGGATTGCAGTTAATTTTTTTTTAGAAAAAAGTGATTTCAAACTGTAATTCCCATTCGGTGAGAAGTTTTGCCCAATTTTTTCTGTTACGCAATAGTCAGTAGCTTTAATTCGGTCCTGGCCAGAAATGAATTCATTTATATGCATGTGCAACAAGTGTGGTGGTAATCGTCAGATGATTTAGCTCCAACTGAATTTCTTTCACTACTTATTCATATTGTTGTATTCAATCGATGCGAATAACTAAATAATTTCATTTCGAGTTTCACGTTTTTTTTAATTCGTACACTAGTCAATGCATAAATTCATTTGATTCTTTTTTTAAAAATTACTGAATTCGACCAAATCGTTTTTGTTTTATGGCTCGTTTATTCTTTTTTCTCGTCTAAAATAGTTTATGAGAGAACGTGTTTACTTCCGTTTTTTTTAAAAAAGTGGCTTTTTATACATATATTTTTTGCAATAACAATAGCAGACAACAACAGAATTTTTATTTCTACAAATAAATAAAATTCGTTCCTATTTTTTTGTTCATTCTCTTAATTCATTGTTTTCCCCTTAAACTATTTCATTTTTTTTTCCTGTAGCCAAATAAACCTTAAAAAAGAACACTAGACACATGATAAGAAAGAAGAAAAATTTAAAGTCAATAATAAACATGTTCGACTGAAACATATCAGCCAGAACAATAGAGTTCATAATTTTATTTTTCTATTAGAAAAATACATTATATAATTATAGATATATGCCAAAATGAGAGGATTATCAGTTTTCATTGATCATGGTCAAGAGGTAATTATCGATTGAAATTGCCTGCCTGCCTACTTACTTACTTACAGCTGTTATCCTCATAGGCCACCGACTAGCATTGTCCAATCTACTCTGTGCTAGGCCATCATTTCCAGTTATACCCAGTCGCTACTCTTTTTTTTTCATGTCTGCTTCGGATTCTCGTCGTAATGTGTTCACTGATCATCCTCTTTTCGTTTGGCTTTGAGGATTCCAGTTGGGTGCTTTTCTCATTGTGCATTTTATCCACCTTTAGTGCTTTTTGTCAGTTGGAATCTGATGAAAGTGAATGGACAGGAAGAACTGGTTAAGGGTTTTATGACAGTTGAAATCTGTACATTCAAATCCAAGTTACACAGTCTCACAGTCAGAATTATTTTTTTCTGGTTAGCGTTTTTTTGGCAAGTTAGTTTTTGATGGGATGGGGTTGCCAACTCCATGCCCAACCCTCCTCCTTTATGCGGGCTTGGGACCGGCAGTAGCCCCGAAGGTTCTACTGACGGAGTTTCACAGTCAGAAACATCTCCAAAAAGATGTGTTCAGTCAGCAGTAGTCAATATCGCTGATTTAAAATATATCATATTTCTTATACAATGGATATTGTTTAAACTTAATATTTAAAGCTATAAGTTAATGAGTCACAACTGTATTTTTTTAAAATTCTTTCAAGGTACAATGCATACGATATTTTGTTTTTCTAAAATGATACTAAGATTAATGACAACTAGATTTCAAAAATATTAAAGATTCACATTAAGAACATAATAACAACACAGACAGATATAAGCGAGCGATGTACATAAATATTTGTTAGAAAATGTTAGACCAATCAAGGCAATTTATAGTATGAGTCAATAATCATAGCGAAGTAGATTATATTGTAACTACATGTAATTAGGTAAAAGTACAAGTTGATTATAAGAAGACAGGTGTACTGTTTGTTAGTGGTACAAATAATAAATGCATATAAATATTTAAGTACAATGACAATCTAACTGAAAACAACAATATTTTTTTCACTTATATCTGTGTTATTCAAACTAGCTTTCATTCAAATATATTGATTTTTCATGACTTTCGAATCATTTCCTGTTATTGTTAATTGTCCCTAATATTCAAAGCTACAGAAAGTTGACCTCTATAAAGAAGTATTTTTTAATTGGTGGTTTTTAATTCTATTTTGTTTCCCACCCTAATCTGTTATTATTGCGGTTTTTTAAATCAAATCTCTCTCTGTGTGCATTATCATTACGGTTGATTCCTATGTATGAAAAAATTTACCTGTGAATTGAATTGATGACAAACTTGTTAAATGAATGTAGTGTGGTGTAGTACTTCCACTTAGGTTTTGAGCTTGTCTGTATTTAATTTTGGTTAAGCCCTTTCGATTAACTTGTTTTAACCAAGCCATTGGTATAACAACAAGTTATATGAACCATTGTGCTTTTATCAGTGTCTGATTTGTATGAGCTGCACAAATAAACATTGCTTACCACCTACAAGCATTTTCATCCTATTCGCTTTATTATTAATCTCTTAAATATATTTCAATGACTCAGCTATTTTCCTATGTGTATATCTATGCACATTTTGACCTTATTCATTCATTTTCCAATTCGATCATCCGCTCGCTTCCGGGACTCGCTTGTGTTTGTGTGCCTATGGTCTGATAGTGCAATCGTGGTATACCAAATAAACCTATTCAACAATTCGTATTCTTCTTTTGATTTGTAAAATCGTGAGGCGTTATTTAGTAATGGTTGTCTGGACAAGCAGCCTACAAAGTTTAATAACACATCAGATACCGACCGTCATGAAACTAGTGAGACACTGGTCAACACAGCGGTTTCAATGTTAATTCTTCAAATGGTGGGGAAGATTTGTAGCTCATGTGGACGATTGTGGTGGTGGTGTTTGGTTCTCTGAGCCAGGTGTTTTGGTTGTGAAGTTTTCATTATTCTTCTCCTGAACAACATCATCAGCACAAACTTCAGATAGAAGTGAAACATTCGAATTTCTCCACGTCAACAGCAACTAATCAAGATCGAGGTTAGCAGAACAAGCTACAGGTCAAACGTGGAGAAATTTGAATACTTCACTACATCAACTTCATCGACTATGAGAAAGCATTCGATAGCGTGGATAGGAAAACACTGTGGAGGCTTCTTCGACACTACGGTGTGCCTGAGAAGATAGTTAATATCATACGGAATTCTTATGATGGATTCAACTGCAAAATCGTGCACGGAGGTCAGCTGACAAACTCGTTTGAGTTGAAGACCGGTGTGAGGCAAGGTTGCTTACTCTCACCCTTTCTCTTTCTCCTGGTCATCGACTGGATTATGAAGACGTCAACATCTGGAGGGAAGCACGGTATCAACTGAACACTTAGGACGCAGCTGAACGATCTGGACTTCGCAGATGACCAGGCTCTTCTATCGCACACTCAACAAAAATGCAAGAGAAGACGACCAGTGTAGCAGCAGCCTCTGCAGCAGTAGGTCTCAACATACATAAAGGAAAATGCAAAATTCGCCGATGCAACACAACATGCACCAACCAAATCACGCTTGATGAAGATGCTTTCGAGGACGTTAACACCTTTACATATCTGGGCAGCATCATCGACGAGAAAGGTGGATCGAATGCAGATGTGAGGGCGCGGATTAACAAAGCGAGGGCTGCATTTCTACAGTTGAAAAATATCTGAAACTCCAAACAACTTTCAACCAAAACCAAAATCACGATTTTCAATACAAATGTCAAGACAGTTCTACTGTATGGAGCGGAAACATGGAGAACTACCAAAGCCATCATCCAGAAGATACAAGTGTTTATTAACAGCTGTCTACGCAAAATACTTCGGATTTGTTGGCCAGACATGATCAGCAACAACGTACTGTGGGCGAGAACAAACCAGATTCCAGTGGAGGAGGAAATCAGGAAGAGGCACTGGAGGTGGATAGGACACACATTACGAAAAGCACCTAACTGCGTCACGAGACAAGCCCTCAAATGGAACCCTCAAGGCAAAAGGAAAAGAGGAAGGCCAAGGAACACACTACGCCGAGAAATAGAGAAAGATATGAGAGGAATGAACAAACATTGGACAGAACTGGAGAGGGAAGCCCAGGACAGAGTTGGTTGGAGAAAAAAGTGGTGGGCGGCCTATGCTCCATTGTTGGGTAACAGGCGTAAGTAAGTAAGAATCTAAAGTTTGTGCTGATGATGTTGTTCAGAAGAACAATGAAAGCTCCACAACCGAAACATTTAGCTCAGAGAACCAAACACCAGCACTATAATTCTTCAAATTTATAATTAACTTAAATAAAAATAAACAATAACTATTTCACAAATGAACTGATATTTTTTTTAAAATTTAGAAATATTTTACTTCATGTATTTCATTGAAAATTTATTTCTTCGTAATTTTTTTTGTTAAAATATGCGTTTGTCCTTATTTTTTTCTGTCTCTCTCCAGATACTCAAGTTGATCCTTCCTACACAGTGACATTAACTCTTTTAGCAGTCGGAGTATTTTTGATTATTTTCACAATTTTATCTGGTCAACCACTTGCAATCATTGGTATTTCTGCTCCAATGTATATTGTTGAATCATCGCTAGTCTCAGTAAGTATGATTATTATTGGTATTGTGACAGTTTGTTGTCGTTGTTGTTGTTGTTCGTTGAAATATTTGGGATTTTCTACTTACAATTTCATTATGCTTTTTTCTATGATTTAAATATCGTTGTGTTTAACTTTTACTACTGACTTTGCTCTTTTTAACCTGAAGTCATTCTGTGTGCTGTAGAAAAAAAGTGTTGAGAAGCAGCAATGTGTAAGAGAGAGAATGTAAAAGAGAAGACAACAAGAAAGAGAACTGAGCGAAAAACTCAGTATGCATATAGAATAATGTACCTATATATTCAATAATGCAAGCCATTGTCAACAATTAGAAAATAACACAAACTTCCTATTAGGACATTCTAAACAATCGATGCTAGAAGTTTCGAATGCCCATAACATGTGATCTATTGAATAAATGCAGCAAACAAAATTGGTCTTTTAATCAAGGGTGTGAATTATGGAATCGACCAAAAAGACAGTCGATTATAGTTTCTCTTAACCTCCATTATTCGAGTCAGTTTATTCTCAGTAAACTGTTTCTCTTCAGCTTATGTTTGGCCGAAAATGTGATGCTGACATAAATGCATAGCATTGTATTCGATTATAAGCGAGATTTTGAGTTTAATTTTGACTGCTATAGATAGACTTAACTATTGTGTGATTCCCTTGTGGTGCTAAAATATCATAGCCATTTAGGTGCTATAAAGGTAATAAAATACAAACCAACTCTATAAATGAACGGCTAGAGAATTTCAAGCGAATGAATAAAAAACAACTGTCTTATTTAAAAACATGTAATCTAGATGGAAAACAATGAGGTTGATGATATAGACTTAAATGTTTAAAGATTTTATGACTTTAGCTCTTAAACTGAATCAACAAATAAAGTCTAAGGACAACCGTTTTGTCCTAATATGGGACACATCAGCAGCTCACATCCTCGACTCCTGCAACGCGCAGCATTCGAACCCAGGACCTTCGGTCTTGCGGGCGATCGACCTAACCTCTGGATCACTGTGGTGTATGAGGTTGTGCAAGACCGTGAATTGATCAAAGGTAGAAGTTAACATCGTTAGATACCGGCTCAGTGGTCCAAAGGATGGGCTTTCGCGCGCAAAAGCAAAGTTCCAGGGTTCGGATCCTGTGAGGTACAGGAGTCGTGGATGCGCACTGCTGATGTGTCCCGTACCAGGATGAAACGGCTGTCCAGTGCTTCCAGGTTTCCAGTTGTGGTCATATAACAATGATCAAACTTTAAAATCTTCACAACCCCGTAATGAAAGACAGTCCATGATTATTATTGTTATTCCCTCTCATTATTATTTGCCATGCTCAAATTTTGCGGTAAAATAATAAACGAACATGTTTGATAATCGACCAATACATTATTTACACAGTTGTAATATATCCATTTTCGTCTTCTTTAATGTTATCTAAGCTGCCACAAACTATATCGTCTCAGTGTTTACTAGTGAAAATTCAAACCTTCTATTCTTCTTAAGGATATATAGATATGAGAATTGCCTAGTAAATAATTCAGCAATTAGTTATTCTATATTTCTCTTACTACTATCAGTACAACTCTGTCTTCCTACTACCAACTTATACTTTCGCCTATTATGTATAGTGACGTAATCTCTATTTCATTTCATTGTGATTATTGACTCATGAATTGCCATGACTGGCTTAACATTTTCATATGTAAATATTCATGTACATATTAGAGAGTAAAGCAGCCTGATGACGATCTAATCGAAAACAATAAATATTGTTCGCTTATAATCAGTTAATTGTTAAAGAGTCAAAACTCTGTTCACCATTATTTTTCAGTACACACATATATATATATTGACGTATAATTTTTTCGCTCTTATCCATCTTGCTTGTAGATATATATATTTATATATATATATTCAGCTGTTTGATCTATAAAACTTACCACACCAACAGTTTGTTCAATATATATATTACAGCTGTTTTATGATTTCGCATGCATGCATGCATGTGAATGAACACATTTTGTCGTTCATGTAATTGTTGTTTAAATGGTGGTTGGTGGTTCAACGATGCATTGATACGATTTCATATACCTTCAATGTTTTGATATTATTAATTATTAAAGTAGTATAAATAAAATTTCCAATATATTATTTATAAATCAGTCATTCACTCTCTTCTTCTATCTTGCCTAAATTTAATTAAACAAAATTACATTTTCTCTATGAATTGATATCACTCAGATAAACATTGGTTAATGTGAAACAGACAACTGTTCAAGCGCTGAGATCAGAAGGAACAATTTATCAAAACAAAACGATATAGTTGTGCAGGACCAATGAACAGTATCAAAACTAGTTAGAAAGGTTTATGTATACGAGAAGACAAAAATGACTATGAAAAGTGAAACGTAAAAAAAAATAACAAATTTTCATAACTTACGATCTGTGAGTAGAATGAAACTGAAATGTTTCTACCACATTATAACTAGTTTTACACTATAATAAGCAACGTCTACAATTGTTGGTTACAATGATTGCGTCGTTGACCCTGATCAAATAGCTTGCACCATCTATCACGGTGGTTCAGTTTTATGATCTGTAAATTTAGGAACTAATGCCACATCTTGTTTTTGACACTATACATGTTTGCTTTAAAGCTTACTATTTCTTATATTTCTTATATTCTTTAGATAAATGTTTTTTTTATTGGCTGGAATATTTATATCAATCTTATTGACTACAATCAAGTGAATAGGTGATTTATGAGTAGTAAAATAGTTTGCTAAAAGATTGGGCTGAAGATTATGTCATAGCATGTGTCAGTGAAAATTGTTACTTAATAATTGAGAATTGAAAAAAGATGGTAAGGTGGAATGAAATACAAACAGGATCATTATCCACTTAAAGAATCCGAGAAGGGTGAAGAGTAATTTATCGCATTTACCTTTTTCGAATTTACTGTTTTACCCTTGTGAAACTCTTCAAGTGGACAATGATCCAGAGTTTGATCCCTATCATTGCCTTTCTTAAATTAATTCTCGAACATTAAGCAATAATTTTTTTTGACTGACACCATCATATTGATGTATTCTTCCTTTGCATCTTTTGAAAAATTATCTTATCTTCAATAAATGTTGTCGTTGAGAAGAAAATACTTTTTTTAGCCATTGAATTATTTTTTACATGAAAAGGTTATCGAGACTGTTGAGTGACTACTTTGTTGAAATCATGAATTGATCATTGTGTTAGGTCACCATTAGAATCCGGGAAGCACTGCACAGCCGATTACATCTTGGTTCAGGTCTCATCCAGGAGTCGTGGACGCGCATTGTTGATGAGTCTCATGTCAGGATGAAACAGCTGTGTCCAGTGCTTCCAGATTTTTCTAATGATAGTCTAACACACAATGATCAATTCACGATTTCATTTATTGTTGCTTAATTCTTCTTCTTATTATTATTATTACGACGTTTTAAATAGTAGACAATCACATAATACTCTTCATTTATGTCATTAGATCTCATATTGATGAGACATGAAGAGAAAAAAAAGGCACAAAATCAATTTCTCTATGACTTTGTATAATTTTCCAATCGATGACCAGAAAAAAAATTGACTTAGTCGATAAATAAAACGAAATATTTTTTTTTACTTGTGAGAGGAAAATTTTTTGGCTATCATAATATTTACTTGTTCTTGTAATTGGTTCATCTATATGGCTCTATACATGTTTTGATTGGTTTCAACCATGAACTTACTTAGTCTATTTATTTTCAAATGAAATTACTTACTATTCACAATTTTTTTTTTACTTAAAATATTAGGATTATTTAATTAGGAGAAAACTATTTTTTTTTTGGGGTCATTAACTACTGAATTAATTATAAGCTATAAAATTGATCAATGATTACAATGATATCTAGGTGTGTGCATAAAAAAAAATGATTTGGGAAAAATAATAGATAAAATCATTGCCTTATGGGATAAATAGAAATCTCGAAGTCATAAAGTTTTGAATGATAAATATTTACTAACTAACTTACTTACTTATACATGGAGCATAGGCCATTGACCAGTTTTCTGCAACCTACTCTCTGTTTCTGGCTTGCCTTACCAGTTCTATCCGATTTTTGTTCATTCTTCTCATGTCTGTCTCTGTTTCTCGACGTGATGTGTACTATGTTCTTCCTCTTTTCCTTTGACCTTGGGGGTTCTAAGTGAGGGCTTGTCGTGTGATGCAGTTGTATGCTTCCCACAGTGTATGTCCTATCCACTTCCACCGCTTTTGACTGGTTTCTCGCTCATCTAGAATATGATCTATTCTCTCTTACAGTAGGTTGCTGCTGATGGTGTTTGACCATCGGATCCAAAATAACTTCTGGATGATGGCTTTTGTAGTTCTTCAATTGTAAAAGTACAGCCCTTGATTAGCCTATCTGCATCAGATCCACCTTGTTGGTTAATAGTGCTGCCCAGATTTGTAAATGTTTGCCTATTATTTTGTGCATAGTAATTATCTGATTTGTCTCGAGTTTTCGAACAACACTTTTCAATAAATATAAACATATTAAAACTACAACGATATGGATAATTTTCTATCATCATTCTTATTGATCTCATCTCATGATGCTGATGAGCTTTAGCTAAATGAGCTGATATTTGACGTTTACTAGAGTTCTGTGTCGTTTATCAGCCAACGGCATATTTATCACATGGAGAAAATCTACCAAATGCGAATGCGAGAAGTTGCGTACATACATCATTTACACTGAAATTGTTCAATGTAGATGCTTCTGATTAAGCATCAATATTTAGAGCACATCTAAAATCAGTAAAACTAACTGTCTCGTTCATTTTAAAAATTGCTATTTCTCAAAAAAAAGTCAAAGTATCGTCTTGTCTAGACAGGTTTTTTAACAAAATTGTTCAATTTGTTTTCAATGAATCTATGTACAGTTATACGACAATTCATTGTGACTAATCAGTGCCTGGACTTTATTAT